CCATTTATTTAGTTCTTCTGTCAGTTTCATAGTGTTCCTCACATAATTCTTATATACATATTGGTATATTTATGCCTAAGAACTTCATTTTTGGAAGTGTTAATGTAAATGGCAAGCTGCTTCCTGCCTTGCTGCTTGCTTCCTTCTTTCCAAACCCTTACATTCCACTCAGGATACAAGCCTATGAATTGATGCCACCCACGCCCAGGATGGAGCTTCCGTTATCCACAACCAGAACTGTGCTTAACCAATTTCGTTTTCACATATCTTTAATTCCAGGTTCACATACCCTAATCCAGCATCACACACCCATGATCCAAAAGGTCCACCTATGAGTGCATGAGGCTTTGGGCCGACCTCGAAGCACAAGCCCTAAGAGTTATGGTGCATAATTCTTTTACTTTTTTTCATAACTTTTTTTGTATGTTGTTGGATTCTAACTGCTAACATTTTGTTGAAAAATGACAGAGTAGTGATTGGCAGCAAAATTCAGTCTCTTAGAAATTGGAAATCCATCTGCCTGGAGAATAACAACTTGAAGAGGCAGGACAAAAAAAAAAAAAAAAAAAAGGAGGAGGGCAGCAGGAGGAGGACAGGAGGCAAGGAGAAGAGCAGAAAGAGAAAGAGGAGGAAGAGGACGAAGAGGAGGAGGAGGAAAGGAGGAAGAGGGAGATCATCATCTATGGGAGTTGGGAAAGGACTGACAGGAAAATTAGAAACTAGAGAGAAGTTGGATGCTGGCTCCTGGGAAGGGGGCTCTGTCTCCTCCTATGTAAGGTAAGCTCCCGGGCTCAGGAGCTCCACAGAGAAACAGTGGACCAGGCAAGTAGTGCTACACACAAGAAAACTCCATGGCTATTGTAAACTGCAAAAACAGCATCGGGTTTACGCTAACTGACTTCCACACGGCAGGTAACAGCTGGAGAAGACATACAGTTCAGTGAGGGTTTTATTAGGCACCATTTTGGAAGGGTGGAATATTTAAAGACTGAGACTTGTAACAACTGAAAACAAACAAACAAACAACAACAACAACAAAAACTCACCTTCCATTTAGGGTTTCCTGTGTAACCCATCTACAGTGATTTGTAAGTGACTGCCATGGGAGACAGTTGCAGCAAGGGTGTGGGCTACATATACACCCCCTGAGAAGTGTAAGCCCAGGTCAGGAAGGAACAGAGCACTGCCCTCTGTGGTGAGAAGCCAGACTAGCATGTAGCTCTTAGAAGTGGCTGGGTCTAAAATTGCAGGCATTAAGCTCAGTGCACAACTGGAAGCCCTTGCCCTGCCTGCTGTCTATACCCAGCACAGATCAGAGTGTGATCGCTTTTCAATCTACTAGAGGGGCCTCTGGAACAGGGGTGCACTTCACAAATGCACTGGCCATAAAACCAGACAGAGAAAATGGTAACTTGTTGGATTCTAAAACTGTAGAACTTGTAAAGAAACCATCCATTTAAAAATAGACAAATATTTTTCTTTTTTGGGGGGCGGTTAGTTTTTCTCTTTTTCTTTCTTCTTTATTGGTTTGTAGGGGTTTGAGGAACTGTTTTTCCTTTTTTTTTTTCTTTTCAATTTTTCTTATTTTTCCTCTTTCCCCTTTTTCCATCTTTCTCTTATTTATTCTTTTCTGTTACCTCTATCTAATTTTATTAATTTCTATCTACTCCATAATAGGATCCTTTATCTCATTTTTCTCCTTCTCATTTTCTATTATTTTTATTATATTCTTCTATTACTTAACCTTTCAAATTTTTTTCTTTCATTCTCTCATTCCTTATGCCTTCCTTTTCTACTAGTATAACCATTTGGCTTTATTAATCTTTAGTTAACTCTATGTTGAATTCTTTTTGTTGTCAGTGGAGGTACAGTTGTCCTATCTAACAGGTAATCATTGTATATCAATATATAATTCTTTTTATAACTGTCAAGGTTGGCACATTATTGTCATGGTATGGCGATATCCAGCTTGTCTTTGACGCTATTATTGTTGCTTATTTACTTGCTACTGCTAGGGTGACCCAATTGTTACTTTTAATAGGTTTTTCTGTGTGCGAATATCTGTATTACCTTTGTGTCATGATCATTTCCGAAGAACTGGGTGTTAGGCCAATTATACTGCATCCTTCCCTCCTAAATCAATGGAGGTGGCTAGATCCTGGGACACAGGAAAACGCATACAGTCACCTAAGCCAAGAGTACATCACTGAAAAGCAGATACAAAATAAGAGATCTCCATACTAGTAATAAAGCCTTACTACAGTAAGGGCTACAAACCTCAGCACAAAATAAAACAAAAACAATGGAAACATGAGAAAATGAGGTAGCAAAATACCTCTCAAAACCCTCAATTTTCATGATGCTGATCCACAGGGCATGTTATTAAAGAAATAACACAACAGATTAAAACATGGGTCAATAAGGAGCCCAGTGAGCTCAAAGAAAGTATAATTAAACAGATAATGGACATTATAAAATGATTGCAAGTTTACAGAAGACAGTAATAAAAACTAGATGAGCTAAACAAAATGACACAAAACATGAGTGACTAGTTTATGGAAGAATTAGTCCATGAAAAGGTTCCAAGCAGAAATACAGGAAATAACAATTTTTATTAAAAGTATGGGCAGCAAAAGTGACCACTTTGAAGACAGGAGTGTAAAAAGTAGGAATTATGGCTGCTGCCAGAAATTATTTACAGATGCCTTAAAAACAAGAAAAGGACATGAAAAATCAATCCAACAGCTGCTAAATGGCACAAAGACTAATCTAAGATGAACTGGAATTAGTGAAAAAATCAGAAGACAACAAAATGGCATTAAAAAACCTGCTTACAGAAAAATAATTATAGAAAACCTTACAAATAAAGGAAAAGAATTAAACATACATGAGGCATATAGAATCTCAAATAATCACAATCAGAAAGAACTTCTCCACAACCTATCATAGTAAAAACCCAGAAGCCCAACACAGGGACAGAATTTTAAAAAATGTTAAGAGAAAAGCAATGAATCAGGGGCTGGGGATTTAGCTCAGCGGCATAAGCGCCTGCCTTGCAAGCAGGCAGTCGTGAGTTCGATCCCTGGTACCGATAAAAACGAAAAAGACAAAAAAAAAAAAAAAAAAAAAAAAAAAAAGCAATGAATCAGTTATAAAGATAAACCTATTAGGATTATAACACATATTTCAACACAAATGTTAAAGGTCAGGAGAGCTTGGAGTGAAGTGTTTCAAGCCCTAAAGGAATTTCTAACCCAAACTGATATATTCTGCAAAAACTTCTCTCAAAATTGATGGAGAAATAAGGTCTTTCCATGCCAAAGAACACATTAATAAATTCATGAGCACCAAAACAGCATTACAAGTAGTTCTCCAGGATATCCTACAAAGAGAAAATGAAGCTAACCGTTCCAAAAATGGGTGAGGAATCTAGAACAGAAAAATTATGTAATGACAAGAATAAGTCAATACCTTTTAATAATAACTTTCAATGTGACTATTCTTAATTCCTCAATCAAGAGACACAGAGTGACAGAATAGATCAAGAAACAAAACCCAATAATATGCTAAACATATTAATCCAAAAAGATACTCACACATTAAAAAGTAAATGATTAAAAACAATTACTCCATGCAATGGGAACCAGAAAAAAGCAAGAATAGCTACTCGATTTTCAGACAAAAATAAACTTTAAGCCTAATCTGTTCAGAACAGGCAAAGAAGGTCACTACAAATTGGCTAAGAAAACAGTTTTACAGGTACATAAATATATATTTACCAAACACTGATGTTCCCTACTTCATAAAACAAACATTATTGGACACAAAAGCTCAGGTAAACATCAACATAATTATACTAAGGGGATCTCAATACCTCAGTATCGCAAACAGATCAACTAAAAATCAATAGACTATCAGAGTTGAACCACACGTTCAAATAAAGGAACTTAATACCTATCTCCAGAGTGTTCCACTCGTAGGTATTTATAGTGCTCCACCCAACAAAAGCAGAATACACATTCTTCTAAACAGCACATAGAACCTTTTTCAAAACAGACCATGTGCTAGCCCAGAAAGCTTACATAAATGCCAAACAACTAAAATTATCCCATGCATATTGTTGATCAAAATATAATGCAACTAGAAATTAATGGCAAAAACCCCAAAGAAATTAGGCAAATATATGGAAATTAAACAATACCCTTTTGAATAATCAATGGATCACAGAACAAAGCAAAGGAATCGGACACTTTTCTAGAATCAAATGACAATATATAGGATACACTAAAATGTGTCATAAGGAGTTTTATAGCTCAAATGCCCATATTATAAAAACAGTATAAAAAATAATCTAATAATACATCTCAAGGTCTTAGAAAAATAAGAACAATCTAAATCTTAAGCTAATACAATGGATGAACTTATTATATCAGGGCAGAGTTTGAGACAAAAAATAATTCAGAGTCAATGAAGAGTTGATTCTTTGAAGGAATATGGAAAATAGGCAATTCTGTAGTCAATCTTATCAAAGAAAGGACAGAAAAACCCAAATTGATGCAACACGAAAAAAAATGGCAAAAATCACAATGGACATTGATGGAATCCAGAAAATTACTGGTAACATCTTGAGAACCTATACTCTAATAAATTGGGATATTCAGATAAAATGAATATACTCTGAGGTATATATGAGTTACCAAAGCTAAACCAAAATTTTAGAAGTCCCAAATAATCTAATACTAGACAATGAAACCAAAGCAGTAACAAACAATTATGAAAACTCTTAAGTCTTGATGGATTTACTGTGAACACCACAAAAACTTAAATACTCCTCAAACTCTTCAATGAAATCAAAAGGGAGGAAGTACTGCCAAGTTCATTCCTGGAAGCTAGCATTCATTACTCTGATTCCAAAAACCAAAAAGGGACCAACTAAAAAAGACTACAGGCCAATGAACACAGATGCAAAAATCCTCAACAAGATACTGGCAAACAGAATGCAAACAATTATCAATACATCATGGGCCAAGGATATAGCTCAGTGGTGCAGCACTTGCCTGGCATGCAGGAGGTCCTGAGTTTGATTCCCAATACACACACACACACACACACACACACACACACACACACACAGACACACACCCACACATGCACAATCATACATGATGACCAAGTATAATTCATCCTAGGGATGCAGGAATATACATAATGGAGTACTATATTGTAAAGATAAGCTTGAGTCATTTGTAGGAAAATGAATGAGCCTTGAGAACATGATACTAAGTGAAATAAATCAGACACACAAGCTTAATGATCACATGGTTTCTCTTATACAAGGAACTCAAAATAAAATAAGGTTCAAAATAAAAGATCATTAGAAGTAGGGAGACAGATCTTTTGCAAATGGAAAGTGGACCAAGAGATGGAAGGAGCAGAGGAAGGAAAGTGAGGAAGAGAATAAAAACAGAAATAGAATGTGTTATGCACATGCATCAACTCCCTATGAGGAATGTGATCATTATATGCTACGAATGTGTACTAATAAAAACAAAAAATTGAGAAGAAAGTATTTCGTGAAGATTTTTGCATCTATGTTGGTGAGAGATACTGGTTTGCAGTTTCTTTGATGCTGGCACTGGGGTAATGCTGGCCTTGTAGAAGGAGTCAGAGATACTCATTCTGCTTCTATCATCTGGATAACATTGCAGCTAGTATAATTTCTTCCTTAAATACAAAGACGCCACCAGTGAACCCATTTGGCTAATATACTCTGTTTTGAATTACTGATCCAATTTCTTTATTAGATGTAAGCCTATTCAGATAATGTATTTCTTCTTAGTGTAAGTTTTGACAGACTGTGTCTTTCAAGGAATTGTTCTACTCGATGTAGGTCATCAAGTTTTCTGGCAGGGAATGGTTCTTGATATAACTGTATTATCCTTCTATTGTCCAAAGGATCTGTAGTCTTCTCTTTCATTGTAGACACTAGTAATTCATATTATCTCTCTTTTTTTTTTTCTCAGCTTGGCTATAGGTTTATTGATTTTATTGTTTTTTTTTTTTAAAGACAGCTTTGGTTTTGTTGATTTTTCTCTATTAAGTTCCATTGATTTATTCTCTAATATTACCTTTATGAATGAAAATCAGTGGTTCTTCATTGAAACTGCCTACCTGAATATTCTCCTGGACTTCACACATCCCAGACTGAGCTCCTGATATCCTGCTGCTCTTTCCACAGCAGCCTTTCCTCTCTTAAAGGAGCTCTCTTCTGGCAGTCACTTTTACCCATGATTTTCAGGCCTTCACCGACTTCTCTGTTGTTGTCATATTCCCCAGACAACCTGTTTTAAATCCACTTGTCTTGATCTTTTCTACACACACACACTTGTCATTTCTTGTCACATTCACTGCCACTGTAGTCTAAACCATCAGCTACCCCTGGGGTTATAACAGTCCCTTCTGGCTGGTCTCCCTTATTTTCTCTTTTCAACTGGACAGCCAGAAAACTATCATTGAATCACACTCAGAACACATCTTCCCTCTGCTTAGAGTCCTCCAGTGGCTTCATTTATGAAATTTTCTTTCCATCTGTGCAGAAGGCTCTCAGGCCTGAAAGACACAGGGCTCGCCCCTGTGTGTCTAAAATGTGACCCTGTCCCGCAATTTTCCTCACCCTTCTTTTCTGCTTTGCTTTTTTTTTTTTTTTTTATCGGTACCGGGGATTGAACTCACGACCGCCTGCTTGCAAGGCAGGTGCTTATGCCGCTGAGCTAAATCCCCAGCCCTCTGCTTTGCATTTTACAACACTCATTACCCCTGACATGGTATGTTGTTTTGTATATTATTTGTGTTTAATAATAAATAATTTTAAAATTTAATAATTTTAAATTTAAAAATAAATAAATTTGTGTTTAATAATAAATGTGAGCTTCCTGATAGCAGAGATTTTTGTTTCCTGATCATCGCTAAATCTCTGGAGCACAGAACAGTGCTAGCTACACAGTAAGGGATCAGTAAGCATCTGCTAAATGAATGTAATGAAAACATGTGAAAGTCCTGTCTTTAATATCCACAGCTGTTCCCCAAGCGATGTTGTCTTTTTGTACCTATATATAAGCAGATGCTGTATTTTAAAGTCTTGTAAATGAGATTAAATGATCTGTCTTGTTCTTTGATTTGCTTTATTATGGCCAGAAGTCATGTCTTGGTGATCTGTCTATTTCAGCATAAGCTGATCTACCACGTAAAGATGGGGTATTTAAAAAACAGACACCCCCACATGGGGCAGCATGGCTAATGGAATAATAAGAGTTTTTTGTCTGGTTAAATTTTATGTTTCCCCAGCTTAGACAAGTTGTTATGGCATCTTGAACAGACCAGGCAGGTTTTCATACAATACCTGTCATAGTAAACACACTGGGGCTTAGTCAGCCACTGTACTTGGTCCCTGCCACTTATTTTGCTTTATGTGTTGTGAGTTAAAACAATTAGAGTGAGTGAAGAACAATTCTGAAGGCAGTAGTCAGGTTTTCTGCAGCTCTGTTCCCATGTCACTGCTTCAAAAGACAATGAAAGAACAAAGGTTATTTAAAATGCTGCCACCCACTGACACAGGGTGTCTAGCTCGAAAAAGATTTGTTATGAAGCTGGCTTTGCAATGTTTCCAGTTGAAAAAACTTAGTTTCACAACTCTGCTTTGAATCTTAGACCGCATCCTATTTGATTTTCATTTTGAATGAGTTATTTTGACCTTAGGTCAAAATATTTAATGTTCCTATTCTGGCTCAGAGAGTGATCTTTAAATGACATTGCTGAGGGCGGTGGCAGGAGAGTGGCTCTTTCTGAGAGCTTGGCTGAGTCCACGGGTAACCTGGGGCTGGATCAGAGGCTGGGAGCAATCAGGAAAGGAAGGACAGTAGATGCTAAATGCCCAAACCAGCATCACAGCTACAGTCAACACTTGGTAGTCACCAGACTTTGCATGACAATCAAATATGTCCCAATATGTCCCAGTCTTTAATATATGAAGAATATTTCAAGGTACATCTGCCTTGAAATCAAAATTAATCACCATTTAGTGGCAGGGGTACCTGAAATTTTATGTTTTATGAGTTTTAAGTTAAGACAACTAGTATGAGTAAAGAAAATTCTGAAGGCAGTGGTAGTGTTTGCTGCAGCAGGGTTCCCATGCCGTTGCTTTTATCCAGATGCAGAGGTAAAACAACAGGGAATCTAGATTCTCATTAAGTTTTTCAGAGTCCCTTTGTCAAACTAGAGAAAAACAGCTGTCTTACTTCTAAGGTAAGGAATCCAGTACGGCCACATGGACCTGCCCTGCCCCTGCCCCTGCCCCTGGCCTGCCAACAGGCACGGGGCGGGAACCTGGAGAGACAAAGATGGATGCCTGCTATTCCCTGGGGACCAGAAGTTGGTTCCAAATCACACAGTAGGAAGGAGAAAAAGAAGAGGATACATATCATTTAGGAATCTGAGGGAAGCACAAACGTACACAAGTATTTTTGCTCTAATAAAAACAGGAATGTAAATCACGAGTGTATGGTTTTGACCTCCACATGCCTGAAGCCCACAATAACTTGAGGGTTGTTATGGGGCCAAAGACTCTAACTTGTTTACCTGGACAATTACAGCCTAGGTTGTCTTGTTCAAGGCTTTCTTATCCCATCTGGAGTCACAGGGAAAAGCACAGCAGAATTCAGGTACACCCCCATCCTCCACTGACACCACCTACTCCCCAAAGAGACAGAACTACTGGGCAAATGCCTGAGCAGTGCCAAGGGCCAGGATGAAGTACATCCTCCTGAGTGAGCCTAACTCCAACCTATCTGTCGGCCTCTGCTGGACGACAATCTAATCTCCCCAAGTGAACCATAATGTTTTATCTTCCCTGTAAGTCTTTATGAGGCCTTAGGTTCCCTCAGTGTCACTCTGAAGTGGTGGCATGCAGGTCAATGTACCATTCCTGTCGCTTATCTGACTGTCTTCTGTAACCGGATAACTGACCTGAAAAACTCTAACACAAACCTCACGACAGGAAGTAAAAGCCAGGTAAACAGGAAGTTAACATTTTCTTCACTGGTTATCATATTAATAATATTCAGTCATAAACAATCTGCCTTCTAGTAAACATTTTATGGTTAGTCACTGTTTAATGTGAAGAGAGACTCATATACAAATTGAATACATTTTAATTAGCATTTCATAAGTATTCTGAGTCATAAGTCAAATGCTCAAACCTCCTTCAAACTGATAAGAAAATCCGGGTATGGTGGTGGGCACCATAACCTTAGCACTCCGGGAGGCTGGGGTAAATCTGAGCTGAGGTGGGCAACTCAGTGAGAGCCTGTCTCAGAAGATAAAAAGGACTGAGAACACAGCTTAGCATAAGGCAATGAACTCAATTTTTACTAGGCGGGAAAAAAGAATGCTAGGGACAAAACTATGGAGACAGTTAACTGATAGGTGGATTCCAGAGGTTAGGGGAAGAGAAGATGAATAGACAACACACAGAATTATCCCTAAGAAGGGATAGTACTCTGTATATTATAATAATAGATTCAATCAAAATATCAAGTTGTACACATTAGGTATGCACAATAAAAAGTAAATTTTAAAAAATGGTGGGCTGGGATTGTACTCCAGTGGTAAAGTGCTTATACAATATGCATAAAATCCTGGGTTCAATTCCTAGCAATACAAGAAAAAAAAAGTAGATAGACATATGGCATTACAGATTTGTTCAGCTTCATTTAATATACAACACTAAAAGTGAATTCTAACATAAATTATGGTTTTTGAGCAATAATGTGTCAATATTGGTTCATCAGTTATAATAAAAGTGACACGCTGTTGGGGGACGTTAACAATGGGAAATGAAATGCTGTGTAGGGGCAGAATACAGAAAAGATCTACACCTTCCTTTCAGTTGTTACATCAAACTGTAACAACTCTAGGAAAACAAAAGTCCTTTTTAAGTAAGAGAGTACTATGGAAATGATTTAATACATTTCTTAACTGCAATTCAAACTGGTGCAGAAGCCTTGTGAATATAATTATGGTTCCAGGTTTGAAACCACAGAGCCTACAATATATGAAATATACAAAAAGAAAATATACCAGCAAAGCCTTCCGGGGAACACTGGTTACCATTTTTACTGAGTGAATACATTGTGCCATGTGTTCTATTAATAAATTCACAAAGACTATCGTATGACAGACTCTCACTTCAGTAAGAGAGATGCTGTTACTGTCTGTTTTATATAACAAAGGAACTGAATTTAGAGAGAATAGGGACAGTCATGGTTTATGTTGGTGGCCCCCAGGCCTCATGCATTTGCATTGTGCATTTATGACTGGTTCATTGTCTAGGGCTTGGATTGGGGGTGTGAGTGCTACACAGGCCTAGGGGTGGAGCCAGGATGTGATGTTATGGCAGGAAAAAGGCGTGTGTCTCTCTCTTGCGGGTTTCCGCCTTGCTGTTTGCAGCTGCCATGAACTGCGGCCCCACCATGCCTGCCTGCCTTGGAGCCAACTAAGTATGGACTGAAACCTCCAAAAACTGTAAGAAATAAACCTTTCCTTTCCCAACTTTGGTCATCAGGTATTTTGTCTCAGCAACGAGTTAAAAGTAACTAAGACAGGGACTTTACCAAAGGCACAGTCTAAACAACCACTTACATTGAAACACACACAGCTTTATTATGTGTGCTTAGTTTTCCTTCTGGATAAACTACACTATAGGCCTTCAACCAAAGTGAGCTGAACTCTATGTGCTGTATGTGGCATCTTACAGCAAGTAAAGCAGACCTTACACTATATCTTTAAAGTTCTAGGCATGCCAACAACCACAGACAATTTGTTCTTCCTGTGATTAAGCATAAGCAACAGAAATGGGCTTTCAACTCAGACTTAGTGCATGGGGAGTGAAGGGGTTGCAAGAGTCTTGACTAAGGAGTGTAAATCACCCCTTATTCTTTGGCAGCTTCCCTTGCAAGACACCTTTTGTGGCAGGCTAAGACCTAGGCATTAATCAGAATTAAACAAGGCCTCTTGGCTTGGGCAGGCCTAATCCCATTGTAGTCTCAATAAACCTTACTTTTGAAAAAAGATCCCAACCATCAGAGTAACCGAGAGCTGCAGCAACAGGGCATGTGCTTTTCTACAGGATGTGACAGCTTTTTCAGTGCACTATTATTTCTTCTGTCCTGTGACTTCATTCTCATTTACAGGTAAGAGGGAGCTGCAGAGTGAGCTGCAAATGAACTCATCTCACCACAGAAGCAGGTGCTTTCCCGCCACCAACCCTGGTCAGTGCGTTCAGATACTGGGTGGATGAGGACTGAGTGGGAGATTACACCGTAAACACGGCTCCTGGCCCTTGATTTCCCCCCTTAAATTGAAAGAGTTAGGATAGATCCTAACATAGTCAGCTATGTTAGGATCTAAGGACGATCCTCACATCTTTATTTCTCTCATGCTTTTGCCCTCCTCTGGACTCATATCTACAATTATTCTCTTATTTACCAATATTTTACACACAAAGGTTTGTATAAACATTAATAATTTTGAATTTCAAATACAGAAAGTATTTAAACATTTGAGTTGTGAACTTTCACAGATAATAATGGACCTTGCATGCATTTACTTATTTATTGTTGTTTTTCTGTGTTTTACATTGTATATTTGTGTCAAAGTTGTATAAGACTCACTTTGTCAAACTTATGAATGAATCCAACTTACAAACATGCTCTTGGAATGGAACACATTCAAAAGCCAGGGACGTATTGCTTAAGATTCAATTTACTGTAATTTAAATTAAGAAAGAATATGATTCTCCTCAGAAATAATCTTATGTTTCCTTCAGCCAAGGGGGAAGGTAGCAGAGCTTCTGCTTCGCCTCCTGGAGGGGTGGTTTCTGAGCCGGGCCTTAAAGAAGGGCAGTATTTCAGTCGGCCTCGTGGTCGTGGAGGATGTGTTCTTGTGGGAGTGAATGAACATGACTCCGGGAAATGATGCCTTTGGTGCCTACCATTTAGTAGCATGGTATCTAGACTACACAGCTTGATAAGCTCTCACGTTGGATGGATCTCCCTCTATTACAGGCCTGCTTCATGAGGAGGATCGAGGTTCACCATGGTGGGAGAGAGACACTGCCAGGTCCAGAGCTGGCTATTCTGGCAACAGAGGTGGGGTGAGGTTTCAAGAGCAGTCACCAGAGTCCTCAGATAGCATAAGGAAGCAATAACATAAGCACAGAAGGCAGGAGGTGAGGACACGATTCCCAGACAGAGGGACCAGGGCCAGAGATGATAAAGTAGACCAAGAAGGGATCCTGAGGAGGTGCAGGTCCAAGACCATGAACATCCCTGAACACATTAGGAAAAACAGCATACACTAAGCACTTCCTGTGCACAATTAATCTTGTAAGCATAATTTTTGCACAAACACTAGCTAAGTAATCACAAATTCCACAACAGTGAAGAATACTACTTTAGTATGATTTCTGAGCCACTCTGAGTTTTCACATACTATAGAAAAATGACTTTCAGTCAATAATAGCTTTTCAGGCATGTCAACAACATACTGTATCACCAATTACAAATAAAATAACTAAAATATATGAGGGTCCATAAGTCTAAGAGTCATCCAGGGATCATCACAATAATCTTCAGAAAAGGAATAGATACCAGTTCTCAAATTATCCAGGTAAGCACTGAACCTCCGGTAAAAGTGAAGGGAATCAAGATTATTGTCAGTAAATATACTCTCTGCTTTACTGATTTACTTTTGACAGAAGTCTTACTTTAGGAACGGAAGAACAAATCTCCAATTACTTTCAGGTTTCTTTTTCTGAGAGCAGAGTGGCCCAGGATAGGGAGAGCCGTTTTAGCAGCCGCTCACCTGGAAGACATGTAGGGCTATGATCAGTTTACTTTCAGAAGTGATACAGATGCTATAAAAGTCCAGCCATCTCTGTCACCCAGGTGACATGCCAATAATGTGAGTGAAACCTGCTGGTGGTTTCAGTTCAACTGAGTACTCAGCAGAACAAAGTCTTTGGGCAATTGAAGACAATGCCGCGTGCAACAGAAAAACCACCTAGCTGAGCTCAACTGACACAATGTCATGGAGAAAAGGCAGTTGTTTTAAGCCACTAGTTTGAAAGTGGTTTGTTATGCAATGGTAAGGAACGGAATCAGCTACTTAAGGTAGACATCTTTTGTGGTGCCTGAGAATACTTTTCTTGGACACAGGGTGTCCTGCAGCAGGAAGAGAACTAATCCAGAGAGATCTAAAGTAAGACAAGGCGTGTAACTTTGGGACTGCTGGTCTGAGAAACACAAACAGTTTGAACAAAAATAAAAGCTTGAAATAAAAGCTCATAAGGCACAGTCAGGGGCAAGCTAAGCCAGGACCCAGTTATAAAGTGCCAGAAACTGGAAGAACAGAAAGAGCCAGCTGAGAGTGAGTGAGAATGGACTAGATATCCAAGATAAGCTGGCAGGGCACTGGCTCTAGGAGAGACACATCTGTTCTGGGGCCCTCATTTTTTCTGACAGCTTCCCAACCCCACGAGACTGTACTGCAATTTCTGGTCTCAGAGTTCCTTTAGGTCCTGCCCCTCATAATGTCCTGTTTAACTCAGCATCTCTTGCTTCACCCTATAAGCTCCTCTGAATTTTTGCTCTGGTAACCAAAACAGACCAGTTAAGACAAGACTCTTTTACTATATAAGACTCTACCATTTTAGGAGTGGCAATGATTGACAAGGTAAACATTATTACCAGGATACAGAATAATTTAGCAAATGAAAAATAAAGATAGAGGGCTCCATTATTATGCTGGTGGACATTACTAATAAAATGAGAGACAAATAGTAAAACACAATCAAGCAAAAAACCACAGGCAGCAACTACACTAAGAGTATAACACAACTGAATAACTTCTAAAATTAACAGTAGCTACACTGGCAGGTCATAATGATCCACGAAATTCTAACACTCATTCAAACTGCAGGACAGCTATAAAACTGAGTGTTCTACTCCTTTCTTCCTGTTTGGTGGAGCAGAAGAAATGATGCGACAGAAGAAAGGAAGAAAAAGGAACACTGGAAAAGCTAGGAATGGAGCTGCAACACAATGAGATGAGAAGTGAAACAAGAGCATTCAGTTAGTACCGGGGAGTAGTGCTTGAGAGAAGGACCAATCAGAGTCCAGCTCACCTCGTCAAGCTCCAAGGGCAGCCTGGCAGCAGAACCCAAGAGGGCCACTCGTTTTGGAGTTAGGGAGGTCACAGTGGCTAGAACCTGAATGGTAGAGTAGTGGAGAGGGGAGAACTGTAAAACAGCTACTGTAAATACACCGCGATTGTTCAAGAAGGTAGACCAGATGATGACCATGAAGAAAACAGACATGAGCAATTTGAAATAAAAAACACTAGGCAGAATTAAAGTAGATTAGATACTACAGAAGATAGTAGTATTGCTTGGAGATAGCAATATTACTTGAAGACACAGTAAAAACTACAGAAAAATTTTAAATGCAAGAAAAAACCAAATGAATAAGCTCCCATGTATTACGAGATAGTATCAAGCAGTATATATGTATAACTAGACTTATTTAAGGAAATGACAATTAAAAAATTTCTAAATTTGCTGCAAATTATAAACCCACATAGTCAATTTTTTAACGAATTCCAAGCTAAAGACACAAAGAAAATCACATCAAGACCCACCATATCTTAAAAAACACAGAAAAAAAATACATTCAACCTCCAAACACTTACAAGAATGGCTAAACCCACAGTTCTAAGTGTTATCAAGGTGTTCTGATAACTCTCATAAACACTCCTAAGAGGAATACAAACCAGAAATATTTTTTTTTGTGAAGCAATTTAGCAGTTTCTTATAGTTTGACATATGTGTACCATATAATGCAGTTAGTTCTTCCACTCATAGGTATCCACCCAAGAAGAGTAAGAACTCACATCCAAACAAAGAACTTTACATGAGTGTTCAATGTAGCTGTATTCATAATAGCTAAAAACTGGAAATAACTCGAATATCTATTAACTGGTACAAGTATAATCAAAATGTATTACATCTGTAGAATGGAACATTATTTAGCAATAAAAACAAACAGATTCCTGAAACAATCAACTTTACATGAAATGAAAAAGCGTTACACTGTATGAAAGAAGTCAGGCACAGAAGACTATATACTATATAATTCCATTTATATTACTTTCTGAAACAGGTGAAAATACAGAGCTCAGATCAACAGTGGCCAAAGAGATGCAAAGAAATTCTTGTGAATGGTAGACTTTATCATCATTATGGTGGTGCTATATAAATATATGTATTTATGAAAATTCACTGAGTTGTATGGTTAAAATTGGTAAATTTTATTTTTCATAAATTATAGCTCAGTAAGGTTTGCAAAGAAAAAAAAAAGAACAATGCTGGCTATCTACTAGAAGATCTTGAGGATTAGACAAAAAAAAAAAAATTGGAAATCTATGGGAATGGATTTCACCCTCCCCCAGTTATGCAGGAGAAATCTGACAAGAGGACATTTTATAAATGCTGAGAAGAAAAGTTGAGTCCAGGTCCTCAAAGGAGCATGTCCAAAATCCCAGCTGAGCTTTATGCTTTCTCATTACTATTCCCTTTGGCCACAGGAAGGCAGAGATGGCTGCTTAGACTAGTGGTGATAGTGAACCAATTTAATACCAAAAAATATGGAATTATTGTCTTGGGAACATTTTAAATTTGGATAACAGGGAAAATAACAATGTTTCCTACCTAGAAATATTAGCGTGGTACTAGTCTCATCTTTCACAGTAGGAGGTAAGCTAACTGCTTCTAACTGATATATGCAGCTCTTTAAAAATTCAACAAAATAACTCCTAGCATGTGTCATCATCTCTTTCTCTTTATCCCACTACTAGGAGTTTAATAAAGGGCTTTCCCATTAAGCTACAGCCTCAGTCCTTTTTTAAACATTTGAGATAAGATCTAAGTTCCTAAGTTCCCCAGGATGGGCCCCAATTTATAATCCTTCCTCCTCAGTCTTCTTGTGTTGATTTTACGTAAGTTATGCCATGACATCTGAGTTAACAATCTCTTTTCTTATCCTCAGAGAGATTCTGTAGGAAAGAAGTACCTTTTATAGTAAAAATTGCTTGACAATTCATTTAACCTTTTTATGTTTTACTTTTCTTCTGTTAAATTAAGTAAAATAAAATTAAGTACTTTTCTAAAAATTAAAAAGAGCAGTTAGAGTGGAATTTTACTTACTGACATACCTCGTTAGTATTGGCAAGACGAGGGCTTAGGAGATGCACCAGTATTTTACTATGAAGAAAGAAAAATCACTGCCACTATAACAACTACACAATGTGGAGATGCCATGGACTATAAGATACATTCTTCTAAATAAAGTTTAAAAGGCTTTGAAATACAGAAATGGAAAAAGCCATTCTAATATACAGAAAGGACACACAGATCTTGTCAATTCTTGCCATTCCTTAAATTTTACTATATTCAAATGACCAGCTGTAGGAAATATCCTGTAATGTTTTAAAAGGCCTATTATCCCACTCTACACATTTATTTCCATATAAACTCAAATCTGAGGTGTTAATCCTCTTTTCTGAATGTAATTCAAAAGAAACAGGTGTCCTAATTGTAGGTTTTTGGTTTAATTACCTCCTTTTAAAATACGGCACACTGTTTTATATTGGTTGTTCTTCACTGACACATCAGAGCTCCCATTTTCAAAAGTGGCCCAGTACTTCTCGAACTCCAATGTCCCAGAGTCACCTGTGGATCTTGTAAACATGCAGAGCAGGATTCAGCAGGTTTGGAGTGAGACTTGTGATTCTGCCTTTCTAATGAAGGAGTCCAGGGAATTTCACTCCAAAATAGGGTATCCAAGTATGCTGATATTAAAATTAATGCCCTTGGAGAGCAGCAGATTCTGGAAAAGGCTTTAACTGTTCCTGCATGTGCCTAACAACTCGATCTTCTAATGAATAACACACTTATCCTTGGTCCCTTGCCTGAGTTTTCATGATCTAAACTCGTGTATATGAAGAAGGTTGAAGAATGTAGCCGCAACAGACAGAATTTGGAACGAGCTCTGTTCATCACTTAAGCCAGTGATGGTGAGCCACTCAGAGCTTTCAATGATAAACAGCCCAGTGTGGCACATGTACCATAAGTTCACCCCCACTGGCCTAGGCCCATTCAATTCTCAAAGAGTTATTTATCAACTATCATTTGAACATTGGGTCCATTCATTAACCTAGAATTACTTGTTACTTCTCAGAACTGTCACAGTCTCCATCTCCGTCTCCCCTAGAAAGCATCTGGACCTCCCTGGATTAGGTAATCACACTTCTATGACTGTCCCCCATGGACTAAAGTGACTTTGTGTATCTTTTTTCCTGTGGGTCCATCTATAGTTGGTTAATTCACAGAACCTTCAGAGGGTGAAAGGAAAACTTTTTCTTTAAGTGTCTTTACCAAGAAGCTTCCAAAGAGTGCCCAGGTTGCTGGCTCCTGGACCACACTTGAGTAGCAAGGATAGTTGCTCTGTTGAACTCTGAAGCAAAATGAGCACTTATACCTTCCACAGGGCCTAAACTAATGTGTTCCTTTTTCCTGAGGTCCGCAGGAAATGTGTGGTATGTCCCCCGCCTTGGAGGGGGAATGAGTCAGCAAGTTGTCAAGTGAAACCTCTTTTCACTGTAAATTCTTATGCCTATTTACTGAACTGTCAACCAGTGAACTTTTAAGCTGATCTACAGATATACAAAATAAAGTATATGTATAGGAAGGGAAGTGTTTGAGGGAGTCAAGAAAATGATTTTAATTATGAAAATGAGTAAAGGTTTATGTGAGAAAATGCAAATTGGCTAGTTTTGCAAGGGGGAACTTATTAAATCAGAAAACTGTTTTCAGCTGTAGAGAAGGATTTTTTTTTTAACTTAATGGAAAGAAGAAACTAAAAGATAATGTTTTCACAATCTTAATCTCAATGGAGCATAAAGTTTGGAGGGTGAATATCAAAAAGTATTTCTACATTTAGTTGTCCAAGATCCAGAATGAAATAGCTTCTCCATGTTGTTATTAGTCACTGGAAAGAATTTAAGAACCCCTGGGATAAAACAAAGTTTGAAAGTAGGAACACAGTATTATTTTAAAAATCATGTCATATTATACATAACAAAAAAAAAAGACTAAAAGGCTACCTTGCAAAAAAAAACAGTAATTGTCACTGGATTGTGGAATTATGTGCACCTGTGTTTATTGCTTTTAAAATTTTTCTATATTGAAATGTATTATTTTTATAATAAAATAATACAAGTTAGTTTTTAAAAGCAGCCATGCTGAGGTAGATATAAAAATGGGCATCTTTCCTTTGAAAGAAAGTTTCTTTCAGATGGCAATCCTTCACACATCCCCTTTAATTATGTTGTTATCAAGATCCAGAGAACATGGTGGACAGATAGCAGCAGCTATACAGGCTCTCTGTGAGACCCAGCTTAGAATCCAGAAATCGTGTGGAGGGAGGAATCCTAAGCAAGAGGAGATATACCCTGCACCCAAGAATGAACTGTGGTGAGAGATACCAACTGGGAATGCAATCCTGGTGCTATAACAGGAACAGACAAAGCCTGAGCATGGAAGCTGGAGCCCGCGCCATTGAAAGCCGCGATTTGGGTTTCCTGCCGCCACTCTGCATCTGAATCAGCTCGGCAGGGAAAGAAATGCGCAAAAGCCCTGAGAACAGGAATCAGTGAACGGAGTTAAGAGCTGGGCGGGTGGGGAGCCATGCATCGACCTCCCGAGTGAGGGAAACTGGGACTCTCCCATGGTCTAGGAGGCCCCAACAGAGGACACTCTGGGACCAGGCAGACTCGCTGGAACAGGGAGCTATAGTGACTTCAGTAACATATTCCCCTCTCAAGCGGGATTGGTGAGCAGTGCCTAGCCTATGTGACGCTGCTGGCTGAGACCCAGTAGGCTAGCACAACCCAGGTCCCAGCGCCTGGAGGTGCACCTTAGCGGTGAAGCCTTTTGGTAGGTTGACCTGGAAGGGGGGCCCTGCATAGGCTGCCCGGTCCGTAACTCCCTGGTGCACTGCGGTGGGCGGGAGCACCTAGCCGGCACAATTCAGTCAGACTGTGGCCGACAGGGAAGGAAGCTGGGCCTCCTATATATGCTTGCACATATAAGGAACAAAGAATATGGGAAACAGGGAGCAACAAGAAAGGCTCCTCAGCCCCCAATCCTGAGAAACAGGCAACAGCAGACATGCCACCAATAGACATAAAAGGCTATCTCCAGAGCCTCATAGATGAGTTCAGGAATGAAGTTATTAATGACCTGAAGCAAGACATAAGCAGAATAGTCAAAGAAATGCTAAGTACCACCCCAAAAAAAGCAGATGGTGGAATGGAAGAAAAGAAAAACAGGGGAGAATTATTTGATGGAGGAAATAGAGAACATGTAGAATACATGAAGCAAAGAGATTACCAGGAAACTAAAAACTCTATCGAAAACTGGCATAATAGCTGGAAAGAAACTAAGGACAGATTAATATGGGAGCATGAAATGAAAAACTTCTTAAAAATAACAACAACAAAAAAAAAACCAAACAGCAACAATACAAAAACTAGAAGATGATAAGACAATCTATAACTTAAGAATTAAGAACATAAGAGAAGAAGTGGGGACACAAACAAATGGACTACAAAAGCTATTCACAGAAATAATCCAAGAGAATTTCCCTAATTTAGCAAACGGTAAAGATACTCACATATATGAGGCATACACACTTCAGCTACCTACAACCCAAATAGAGCTACACCCAGGCATATAATAATCAAAATTCCAGAAATCCAATATAAGAACAGAATATTAAAAGCTGTCAGAGACAAGAAACAAATAACTTACAAGAGAACACCCATCAGAATTAGAGCAGACTTCTTGGCACAAACCATTAAAACACGAAGAGCGTGGGGGGAAATAATTCAAGCTTTGAAAGATAATAACCTCCAGCCAAGATTGAGATATCTTGCACAACTATCCCTGGAAATTGATGGAAAAACAAGGTGCTTTCAGGATAAAGAGGAACTAGGGGAATATGCAACCACCAATTTAACTCTACAGAGAATACTGCAGGATATTCTAAAAAAGAAAAATACAAAGAATCCAGAAATAGTGGCAGAGGCCACAATGAATGTTTTCTACAAAATGAAGAAGACAAACTGACAACTAATGACAGAAAAAGAGCTCAAGAGAAATGAGGCAGAGAAGATTGGATGATAGGAACACTATCTTGGAGAAAATGACGTCATAATAGGTAATGCTGATATGGTATCATCTTGTTTTGAAGTCCCATCAAGCTTTTGTTCTTCTGTCTCCATAGGTCTTAACATGTTGTACCTTATTGGATTTTATTATATGTGATAGTACAAACAAAAACTTTTATAGACAAGAAGATTATACAGAAACCATAGTTCATTATCTGTTAGTTGATTCTAAATACCCTGTAATACTGTCCTTCTCTTGAATGGTTTTACATTGTGTTGATATATTTGATGCTACAGTATACGAAGTTATACTCAAAGATCTCAAGGAAAGAGACAATATGGTAACTACTTTTATGTTGGGATTACCTTGTGGTGAAACACTAATTTGCTTAAATGGTTATGTTTTGATCTGCACTGTTTAGTTGTTATGCCCTCTTTTATCTCAATCTCCATTTTATTATTTACTTTTTATTTTTATCCTTTTAATTAAAGGAAAAATAAATTTAAAAAAAGCAGGATATATTATAGTAACCCACTTTGATATTCTATTAACTTGATTTGAAACCCTGTATTGCTCTCACCATCTTGTTTTGACTGATGTCTCCCTATTCTGCTTTGCTTGATAGTACCAGGTTCGAAAGTTTAGGCAACAGCTGTGAAGATAGTGGGATTCATTATGACGCCCATACTGGTTGACTATTATCTACTTTTGAAGACCTGTAATGTCTCCAATGTTTTGGTTTTGTTCGTTTCGTTCTTTACTGTTTTGTTCAATTTTATTATAACTGATGATATAGGCAATTCTATTTGAGATAGTGGGAGGCATTATGGTAACCATTGTTGATCACCTTGTATTATGTTTTTACATTATCTATTATGTCCACCCTTTTGATTTAACCGACTCTGTTCTGTTAAGTCACATTTGGTTTTACTCTCTTCCAAAAAAAGTAATAAGAACTGTGGGAGAAATAAAACCCAAAATGTGTAATAGTCATTGTACAAAAGAGAGGAAAAGAAAGTGTTCTAAATGGTATAACTACATGTAAATTTAAGTGTATAAGATAGACAATGATATTACTAAGTTTTGTTGGATCATTGAACAGATCTGTTTGCAGTCTCACTGTTTGAATGTCCACTTTATATTCTTTAATCTTGTAACCTAAACAAATATTTCTAAGATGACAATATGTAATCCATTAACTAGTGATTTCCTACTGTTTATTTTTTTTTCTGAAATTCTGTATAACTTGTACCCTTTTTCTGCTTTTTTTCCCTTTTTCTCCTTAAATAAAAAAAAATATGGTGTTATCATGCTGAGGCTGTGGTTATGTACTGAAGTGTTAAATAACATGGAAGTAACTACAATCCTTACAACGTATTTCCCATATACTATCTCCAAGTGGCATTTATGAAGTTTAAAATGCTTCCAGGATAAAATGAGAAGGTCCGTTTGTCTACCAACTCTGCTGTGCCCACTGTACAAGTCCCCCAGACCCAAATGGCATGCTGTCATGCCTGCACTCTTTCTAGAGGGCAGAGCTTGATGCCGGATTTCAGTGACTGTGCTGGAACATCACTGGCCGATGGCATACAGCACAAGGAATGTGATCCTAAGGGAAAAAAGTGAGTGGAAAATGCATTAAACATCACTGTGCTCAGGAACAATTCTGGATACCTTTAGGATGGTAATATTCCAGGTAAAACTCTCCACTGCTTTTTGTAGTTTTCGTTCTTTCAGACCCTCCTTGGTGCCTATGCTGTGCAAATGTTCATGGAATTCCATGGCTAGAAGAAAAAAGAGACAAACTGTTACTTCTCCATTCAGTCTGAGGCAATGATTACTGTACTTTTTTCAGTACTGCTGAAACCATTCCACTCTCTAATGGGATTTCATACATGCCCATTTAAGAATGTAGTGATGCAGAGGAAACATTGAAACCCACCATATCAACAGGCAGAACGTACACTAGGGTCAATGACAGTTCCTTAGAGTTTGAAAGGTAGCCACGGCCAGAAGATTATGATTATATGATCTCATTTTAGAGAAGTGATGCTCGGCACACTTCAGAGATGAAGGTGCTGAGGGAACAGGAAGAGGAGCTGGGACTAGAATTCAAATCTCTGGAATCTCACAAGGCAGAGTTCAGTTCTGCCAAGGACATGATGTTGGTGACTGGGGATGAAAAGGAGGTAAAACCATGTACTTTCTATCACAGTAAGGGTCAGAGTGAGGTCAGATTCCAAGACCACTGTAAAGCGGGGTTGGGGGGAACTGGCAGAAAGACATGCACTTTAACATCACACTATACAAGTGTTATGACCCCTCACAGTCCTTACCAGGAGTTACCTAATCAAATGATTCCCATTATTCTTCAGAAAAGACTAAGAGGATGTGCACTCTGGTAATTCAGGGTACTGTGATGGCCCTTCATTAGTGGTTATTATGATTTATAGATTTTTACATATTCCCTTATAGTCAATCATTGAATCTCTGGCAATGAAAGTCCTTCAAACTGGTTCTGCACCATTCTGATAAGACCAATTAGCTCTTGATACGTCCTTTGTTTCCTGGTACAAGGTATTCTAGACTCACCAAAATACCTTCCACATGTCAGACCTGGAGCTATTTCTTCAAGGAAACTGTATGGTGGTTGGGGGGGGGGGTCCCAGATTATGATCCAGACAGACTGAGAATACAATTTTTTTAAAAAAAAGAAACATAAAATTTCTAATTCAAACTTAATTCAGGGTATTTACATGACCTAAATTTTATGCTTTTTAAAATCCTCTTAGGTGGAGAAATGTTAATCACTGACCATACTGATCTGATTATTAAAAGTAAAACTGTTGGAGCCAACTTCATGTTCTTTTATCTTCAGAGAACATCTTACCAAGAATGAATGGTAAAAATACTGTGTTCCAAGGTCAGTTGAAATAATTCACCTATGTGGTTAGACCACTAACAAAGTATAGTTAGGTTAATTTGTTTTCTTTTTTTTCATATTTTCCCATGTGATTATGTAATTTTTTGTTTTCTGACTTTTCATGTGTGCATGTGTGGGCAAGCGTGCTCTTTTTGGATGTCTTTTTTTTTGTACTGGGAACTGAACTCATAACCTTGCACTTGCTTGTGCTGCTGAGCCCCTGGATGTCATCTGTTCAGTGGTACGTATAATAGAACTTAACAGGATTCCTCAGTTAAACTACATATCAAGATGTGTCTCTACCTTGTTCTCCCCTCCTCTTACACTTTTTAAAATTATCTTTCTATTACATTGTTTCTCTTTTCAAATACAAGTAAATGTATACAAATAAAAATATTCACAATTTTCCCTTTCTTGCACAAAATGTATCGTACTGTGTTACTGTTCTCTGTCTAGGTATTTTTTTTTTCTCATATAACTGCTCTAGATCAGTATGGAGTCACTGCTCATTGTGACAGCTAAAGAGACTGCTGTATAGTTGAGCCAACATTAGATAGCCAGACCATACTGATGGATGCCGAGATGTTTCAAAATTTTTTGCTATTGTGAGTAATGTGCAACCCCTGTGAATTTTACAAGGCATTGTCTGCATCTTTTTTGTATGTTTACTCTTTGGGCCTTCTAGTTTCTAATTCCTTTTCTGTATGACACCATCTCAAAGCAACTTGCTACAGTGTCTGGCATCACTTTAAACATCAAGCAAAAGCTGACACACATGTGATAAAAATAATAAGCTGCCAGTCTAGTCATTTTTCTTCTCTATTTTTCTCCCACCTAATAGAAGCTATATTGCAACTTCCTGCCATGCTAGTAAAGCATGCAAATCTTACTGATCTCAAAACAGAACAACAGTAGAAAAACATCCTATTGTCTAACGAACCAGCATGCTGAGGAACCCCTTCTCCATTTCTCTTTTGCTAATGATGGAGCCTAAGCATATCCCAATTTAACTGATTAAATTCTCCACCATGGGGTTGGTGATCCAGCCCAGGCAGCAGGTGGCCTCTCGCAGTGGGGTGCATCCCTTATGATTAGTTCTTCCTTTCACTAGACATGCTGGGCTTAACAGACTGAAGAAAAACAAAATGACCCCCCACCAAATGAAAAGAACAACCACGAATAGACAGTGATTGTGTCCTAAAACTCAGGGTTTTGGGAAGAGCCCTCAGGTCTCCCGCACCAACTTTGAATCTGTGAGGCTCTCTGCAGACTCACACTCAGGTAGGACCTAAAGATAAGGCACTACTTCTTCAGGGGAAATGGATTTTACATGAATCCTTAGTCCTCATAATGTTTCTATTTCTATCAGTCAAGAGGCATCATAATCTCATACATATTACTGAGACCTAATAGATGGAATCTGTGACTAGTATATAGAAAAGGGGAGAAACAAAGTGGCAGAAGTAGCTTTCTACTAACAAGAAAAAACACAGCTACATGGACTACATGGTGCAGGGTGGGAAGGGAAATGGAAGCACTATTACTATGGTACTACTGACTACAACTGCCTGACCAGATGTGGACCTTGATGATGTTTTCTTGGTATATATTTAAAGACTAGCACACCAGTGAACACAACAATAGTCTTCAACCACCCAGGTATCTGTTGGAAGCTTCATTCTATTGGGGGCTACTTATGTTGTCCTGCTGAACACTTCATCAGCTGCAAAGTAATGAAGCAATCATAGGAACTGCTACACTGGGCTTCATTCCAACTAACAAGAACCTAAAGACAATGTGACACAAAGAGAATGCTGAGTTTATATTCTTACATACCGCAGATTTTTTTTTTTTTTTTTGTCTTTTTCGTTTTTATCGGTACCAGGGATCGAACTCACGACTGCCTGCTTGCAAGGCAGGCGCTTATGCCACTGAGCTAAATCCCCAGCCCCGATACCGCAGATTTTAAGAAAGCACCTTTCAGAAAGTTCAAAAGATAAGAATCCAGGGTAAGCGGCAGTAAAAAAAGAGGATGGTTTGAGGATTGAGACTTGAACAAGAAGCATTTGAAATTATAAAAAAAGCTATTGATAAAGATGTAATATACAAACACTAAAAAATGAACACAGATGCATAGAGCCTGCTATCTTACAAAATTCATATATTTTTATTATTTATGAAAAAAGAGTTGAAACAATTCCCCCTTAGTTTGTATCTCTTAAAATATCTGTTGTCCAGTAACAATTCACAGGGAAGTGTAAAGTGTACTTTAATTTTTTTTTTAAATTGGGCATGAGAAAGGTGATAAATTGATATAGAGCAATTATATTAAAAATATAAAACACAATTTAAAAAGTGACCAAGACTATTGGTCCCTCTGTTGTTTATATCATATGATCTGCTGGTGAAACATACTTATTTCTCAGGAAAGATGTCTATATTTTTAGCCTGTCTTTGCAAATCTACGGGTGTGAGTTCTACTAATCCACTGCTATGAAGCATCCGTTTTTATTTTTCAAGGAAAGGAAAGGATTCTCATCTTGATCTATATAGCAAGACTGCATGTTTTCCTTTCCCCTGCGACAGGCAAAGTCAGTGTAAGGACCAAGGATGCACAGCCAAATAGAGCACAAAGGAACTGGCCAGGCACATTCACACACTATGCAAGAAATATAGAGACAACCTACAGAGCTTCCAAAGAAATAGTAAAAAAGATTTAAATCTTTGCCCATTTTACCCAACAGCCCCAGCGCTTTTCAACCACCAAGTATTATTTCTAGACAAAAGCATCCCAGCCCTTAATAGGAGTTCATTATGTGGTTATGTAAGGTAAAATGATGTAAGGGCTTTTGGACAGGCACTGGCCCCATTTTAAGGGAATACAGAGGTAGAGACAATGAGATTACATATTTGAATAGAAACAGTCCACACATGTAATGATAGAAATCCAATAATACATCTACGATATAAATTGCATTATCTTTTTGGTACTAAACCATCAGGACATCTACCCTAAAATGTTATAAGAAGAAGGTCTCCTGGGGCCTTTAAACCAATAGTAAATACAAAGAACTTATCTGGCTTAGATGTTAAATAGCCTCTTCCATATTCTCCAAATTATTTACAGCAAAGAATCTGCCCAGGGAAAAGGTCCTTATCATAATGGATAACTTAAAAGCAAGATTTTTTCTCCTTAGGCGTATTGTATGTTTTGTTTACAGAGAGGAGAGCTTTAAAGCAGCTGATGAAAATCAGATAAGCAAAAATTTTAAGATCATGTCATACACCCTGACCCCAAAGAAGAACAGTTGTTTTATTTTAAAACCCCTTGTTCTTTAATTGTGGGAAAGACAAATATGTGAAAGGAAGGTGGAGTCAGGATCAGAGTAGTATTGCTGAAAATCTAGGAATTGAGAATGTCATCTCCATTCCACAGTAGTGTGTGTGTGTGAAGAGAGATTACTTTTTTCACTGTAATAACTGCTCAGTTCTCATATATATTTATTTTTAAATTATCTTAAGTTTTTTTTTAATGTTTTCTTGTTTTACTTCTATTTAAAAGAACTCCAACATGAAATTTAATGAGGAATGTTTATGTCAAGAAGTAAAACTGTCATACTATTTAGGATTTCTTTTTTTTTTTTTTTTTTTGGTACTGGGGATCGAACTCACGACCTTGTGCTTGCCAGGCGGCCCCTATCTAAGATTTCTTTGCCATGGAGATTTCCTAGGACACTTCTGGTTCTGTAATTAGTAGTTAATACCCATAATTTTGAGATACAAAAGATCTAATTATTTTGCATAATGAGAGCAATTCTTGATTCTTGAAGTAATTGGTCAGTCAGTAATATTTACTGATCA